CTATGATATCCCAACACCTGGTTTTCTCACAATCACTATAATCAAGATCCCTCGTTTTCAATTCGTCAATGATTAACACATCTGTCGATCGGCTATTTGCGTTTCTTCACGATCCTAAAATAAACAATAGCCACAGACAACTGATCAGCTAAATAACAAAAATCCAAATACATAGATATCAAAAATATTCCTCATGGTTGTGTTTCAGATTTTGGTGGAGCAAAAGTGGGTTTACCGGAAAACCACGAATCAGATATAGAGATTTCAGTTAATTCCTTTTAAGAACTCCCTTGTAGCTTTGGTAGATTAAATTGGTCTAAAAATTCAATAGAAATGCTGCAATTATCTCATATTAGATGTGATCGTGGCAACGTGATAACTTTTTTGTTCATTAGAGTTTTCTTAATGTGTAGTCTTCTCAGATTTGAAGGTTTCATAATAGAATGTTTCTTATATCTAACATTTGCTCACCATAAAGCGACTGTATGCGGTTGATGTTTTCCGAATGTAAGCCGGGATTTCTTGTGCCAATATAGAGTGACCCAGTCCTAAGGTATGACTGAACTCGTGCAAAGCAACGTAACTCAGGCTTTCTAAAATCTGCGTCGACCACCACCACTCACTGGTACCACCAATATAGGCGTACCTTTCATCGTTATCAAAATGGACTCTTCCGTCTTCAGGGTAATACGCATGCGCAACGGTTCCTCCCTCTCCGTCGAAATCGAAATTACAGTCTTGCTCATTAGTGACGCCAGCATGAGATTTGGATCCAAAGCTTTGAGGGAAAAACATTACTTCGGCGAGGAAAAAGGTTACTTCAGCTAAAATATGACGGCATCAGCCCTTAACTAGGTATTCGCAACGGCTCATCCATTCATCAATATCAATATAACTAATATCATCTTTAATATTATTATTACTATTAATATTATCGTTTGAACACAAAGCAGTCCAACCTTATCCTTATATCGGCATTGTCGTAGTCATCTGTCCATGTAAACTGAAGACTTGAAGCAGCACCAAC